GAGAAATCATAGATTGTCGGATATCACCTTGAGGAGTCTGGCATTTGTTGTGTTTATCTAAATGGCGTTTGAGGTGGTTGGTATCGCTCTTATGATGAGCTTGAAAAATCTTGCCGCACAACGCACACTTAGCCTTCTGGGTGAGGATCCTACCGTGTTCATCCTTGGTGACGTCGATCTTCTCATAAAAATTCCACACATCGGATCTTGGCCTTTTAGGAGCTCTTGGTGCAGATTCGTCGCCACCGGATTCGGGATTAACTTCGGTAGGAGTAGACCCAGTAGGAGGATTCATTTCAAGATCGGCAGATAGGTTTTGCTCTTCATAATCAGATCCGGAAGCCATTTGATGAAATGATTAGAAAGTATAAGAGAGTATAAGAGTATAAGAGAGTATAAGAGTATAAGAGAGAAATAGATGAGTTTTGGTGTGAAGAAAACAAATAAAAAAACCCCCTCTATTTATAGAGCCAGCCACCTAAACAAATGACCAAAATAACCTCACAAAATAGCCGTTTTTTGACCTTTTTAGGGACAAAACAGTCAAAAGCACGTTTCATGCCACTTGTGTCCGCGAGCAGCCGGCCCTGCCGACTCGTTTTCGGCCACAACGGTCACTCTCGTTGACCGTTGTCGGCGGGCCGCGGCCAGCTCGGCCCGGACCGGGGTTTATTTTCGCACACGTCGCCCGATGTGACCGTTGCCACCGGCCGAGGCTCCGGGCCCGGGCTGCCAGCCCGATTTCTTAGCCCGCGCGCCTCTGTTTGGCCGTGTGCACAAGAGGCGTCGCTAGGTTAGCAGACCCGGGCCCGAACCCGGCCAGGCCCGGATTTTCGGGCTGAGGCCGGGCCGGGCTCCGGGCCGGGCCCGGGCCGGCGGGCTTTTTGGACAGGCCTACTCGGATACAACCTCTTCCTAGGTTCTTCAACCGACGCTACTCCTCTTGGGACGATCCCCGACTTACACCACACACTTCTCTTGGTGTACAAGTGTATTACAAAGTAAATCTCACAATAAGCACAATACAACAAATGATTATTCTCTAATATGCATGAGAACACAATGTAAGCTTACACTCGATTATTACAACTCTTACCAACCCAAATATACTATGTATGAAAATACGATAAGCTCAAGTGGGTGTGTGTAAATAATGAGTGAAATAAAATCTAACTCAAATAGCAAACTAGCAATAATAAGAATATAAAAATTAATAATAAAATTGCTAGAGAAAAGAGTTAGAAAAACTTCTCTATAAACACAAAGGAGAGGATGAAGAAGACTGAGGATGACTCCCTCAATTTGCAATGTAAGCTTCCTCCTTTGTAAATAAAAAATCTCAAACTTAAAACAAACTAAACAAGCTTAAACCCTTATTAAACATTGTTTAAAAACTTCTTTGATACCCTAGAAAGATGAGAGCAAGGGGGGTATTTATAGCCTCCCAAAACCTCGGCCAAAAACCCCAAAGGAAAAGACCAAAAAGCCTAAGAATCAAAAATCTGATTCTGTACCAAAATGACCGTTGGGGTGAACGACGGTCGACTGTGGAATTCTCGCGGTCGACCACAAGCCACTTTCGAGTCTGAGAAAATATCCAGAAAGTTTTATGGTCGACCGTGACGGTCGACCGTGGGATTTTTCAGACTGACGGTCGACCATCACGGTCGACCGCGAAAGTCTCTGCTGGCTACTAAGGGGAAATCAAGGGCACGGTCGACCGTGGCGGTCGACCGCAAACAGATATATGAAATAACAGGTTTAGAAGCAGTTTGATGATTTTAAAACCCTATTTAAAATCTCAAATAAATTCAGAAAAATGTAAAACTTTAGAAAATAATTGTAGACATGATAATACACATGCTACAAAAACTGGTTTTTAGAAAGGACCTCCCAAATAAAAAATATCTTCATTTTGTAAAATAGTCCAAAAACATGAAAATGTGAACATATGAGTTTTGACATTTTAGCTTAACCATGTTTTGAAATAATACAAAATGATTTTGTAGACTTGAAGAAAGATGTAAACTATTGTTATGAAGTCTATAAACAATAAATATAGTATTTTATCAAAATGCACATATAATGCACTAAAACGTGATTTCATTGAACTAAATAAAATTGATATTGATGAAATCATATATATGCATGTAAGTATGAAACAAGAAATGTATTTTCAATTGTATTCAATTGTTTTATATTAAAACTTGAAAACTCAAAACCATGTATGTATATATATAACTAAATATACATAGAAACTAAAACTTAACTTATGTATATATATATAGCTATATATATATACAAAGAAACCAATAAAATGTGTGTGCATATTATATTGAGCTTAAAGCACTAACACACATAATATAAAACCTAAAACTAAATATTATCCAAGCAATCTTGATCTTCAATAAGCTCTATCTTGGTACACTTGCGGATGAAACTTGAACTTGAATCTTTAACTTGAATTGCGTAGGCTTCACTCCATAATTTCGCCAACCTCCATTGAATATGATCGTGAATGCGCAATTTCATCCATCCTCCAACAATGTTGTTTGTTTACAATAAATAGAAAACCACAAATACTGGACAAACAACATTAGTCGTAAATTGTTTGTTAAACATCATCAAAACAAAGAGGCCAACAGTCAGCACCACACACACACACATCACTTCACATTAAACATCGAAGTGACATCTTCTCCACTCATCGGCCGACACCTGTAAAGTTGAGGCTGACGTGGCCGCCATCCCATATCGGTCGAAGTTGTCATTCTACCCTCTTGCCACTATTATAAAAAGAGATACTATTTTCAATTACAAGGTAAGCTTTTTTCCATTACTCTCTGAGCTCAAGAACTACTGCATTTCCTTTTACTTCTCCGCTCTAAGCAAATCACTGACTTGGTCATCAGAGGAGCAACCAGGGAACCAGACTTCGCCCTCTTACGATTTGTTACTTGTGCAGGAAAGAACAACTTGCTTAAGAACCAGACTTTCAGAGAGTTAGAGGACCTCCTTCAACTCAATCACTCCTTGCTTTGACTGTTTGATTTCATACATCAACATGTATATATATGCATATGTGTGTATATGTGTGTGTGCGCGCGCACGCGCTACATGAATATGTATGTATGTATGAAAGATTTAGGGGATTAATATCAAAAGTTGAACTCATTTTGATAAGGTGAACCCCCAAGTGTTTCATATTTTTGAAATTAGTCCCCCAAATCTTCATACTTCAAAATTAGTCCCCCAACTTTAAGCGCTTTGATATTAGTCTCCTAAATTTTCATAATAGTGCCCCCAAATCTTCATATTTTGAATCAGTCCCTCAAATCTTCTAAGTTTTTAAAAAGTAGTCCCCCTAGTTAGGATTAGGTTGAAATATTTGGGGGGATAAATTTTAGAACATTTAACACATTTGGGAGACCAATTATAAAGTGTGAAATTTTAGGGCACTAATTCCAAAATATCTATAAACGTGGGCAGGAAATTTCAAAATATTAAAAACATGAGGGACTACATCGAGAAAACGCTTTGCTTTTGAACTTGTGCATAAGAAAGGAGGGGGGAGAGGGAAATATGTCCAGTCATCAAACAACTTTCAAAAATTACAACTTAACTTGCCACATCAACGATTTTTAATAGAATATTTCAAAATGGACTGATGCTGAAGACAGAGGAAAAGTTAAGGACTTTATGTGATGACTTACAAGCATCAAGGACGTACCTAGACCGTTGTTCTACTTATACATCAAGGGCCTCCACTGAAGTTTTGCCTTTCTTATTTTATTTTTGTTCTAATTTGGACATGCAAACATTGTAGATCCCATTTTGTTACGGTGCACATCAAATTTAAGGATGTTCCGGCTAAATGTATAGGACGACTATGTGCTATTGATTTGACCCTTCTCTTTTGCAGGCTACTTAAATGGGCTTTGTTTAATTACCCCTGTTTTTGTTTCAAGAAAGCAGTTTTAAAGTCTTAACAAAATTAGATCAGTGCTGCCTCGAAATGCGTATGAAATCAAAATTGAATTCCAAATTCCCTCACATATCAATATCACGAACTATCATAAACTGTTTCCATTGTGTACTTTCTTTTGTTTCAGACTCCTTGCTTCTAACATTTGTGATGAAAACTCAAAGCAATATCTGACGAAGTAAATAAGTAAGAACTGTTCATACATCATGAAATAACTGGAAAAAAATAAGTTCTAAAAGATAAAGTGGGTTGGATTCCAAGCTACAGCTCCGTAGAAAGTAAATATACTTGGTTACCGAATGTGCGTTTGGCAATCACGACCTTGGCCCAGTTTATTTCTAAACCAGTTTAGGATTGGGCAAAGGGAGTGCCGGTTCAACACTAAACTAGTTCTAAGGCCTAACAAGAACTGGGCCAACACTGGTCTAGTATTTGCCAATCACGGATTAACCCAAAACTAGGCTAGGTTCAGTCGTGACCCGGTTTTTAAAAATACCCCCAAAAACACCCTAGACTTGAGTAATGAACCATTACCCATACCGCTCAACAGCTTAATGAATGAAAGTACCATCAGATGTGCTGCAGATAGTACCATTCTCAACAGATGACATCCCACGATGGAGAAAACTGGATAGGGTTTTGGCCCTACCCGTGTCCCAAAAGGACAAGCACGGACGAAGCTCAGCTCAGTCGCTCAGGGGTTTTGGGCCCCAAGCATAAGCAACTTGAGGGGCTATTGCTATAATTTATCCGCCACTCATTGTCATAGGCATCTTATCCGAGCAAAACCGTAGGAACAGAAGTTAGCCCAAGCTCTCACATCAATCAAGCCCCACCACCACCCCCGAACTTCAACTGGTCGAGGACCATCACTGACTGTTTGAGTCTACCGCACAGAACCGACTTCCACGCGGTCAAAAAGACAACCAGCGGATAAAACTCCGGCAAGCTTGGAAGTTTTGGTAATAAAAGTAACACACAGCGGATAAAATGAGCTTCAAACACAAAGCTTCACTGGGAAAACTAAGAAGAGTTTCTCGGCATACAACGCTGAAACATCAAAATTATGAAAGGAGCACACTGAGAGAGAGTTACAGACAAGACTTTTTTTCGGCAGACACCCATAATTATCTCTTACATGTATCGCGCATACAAGAGTGAATATTACAAACTTGGTTACCGACAAAGCTAGCTAGGGACATTGAACATTTAGCCAAATTGCCAATGACTTCGAGAAGACATATCCTTTGACAATTGAAAAGCACCCACTACGCTGTAACCAGGCAAAAGTGAACGAATAGGATGTCAACAACAAATAGATAATAAACAATAAAGGACAAAGATAACTCATGTGGGATCCTGACTCCAATGGAAGAAGATCACATGGAGGATGCAGATGCATCAGCTGACTTCCTGTGATCCATTATCTCTTTTATAGCTCATCTCTAGCTTTTTGAAAGCGCACCAGCCGCAAATAAAAGATTTCTACGAGAAAACTGCAGCAAGAAGAAAAAGGCCCGAGATTCAAATTGAGACTCGGTTTGAATAAAGTTCATCAAGTGTTTATCGTTTACCCTTAAGTTATAAACTGGAGTTGATTTGGTTGGAAGAGCTTTCAATAGCCTGAGCCTGTTAGCACTGCTTCCTTTGCTGTTAGAAAAGAGAGCAGATTAGACGTGTATTAGCTTCAAACGATGGACATTAAGAAAGATCAGGGGCGTAGGGTTTTTATATAAACTTTACTTCTCATCAGCCTTTGTTGGCTTGGTGCTGGAAGTGACATCCCATAGTTTTACAGTGCAGTCAGCAGACCCAGATGCAAGCATTGTCCCTTCACAGCTGTGATAATCATAGAAGTGCATATGATGATGAGTTTCGTTGAATGTATATAAAGGTGACACATCTTTAGACAGAAGTATTACATTTAAATTCTTTATCTGACTTGAAGTGAGCAGAAAATTTGTGCTCGTATTTTCTACAGCAGTTGGGTTGTCCAGTTTTCTTAATACTTTCCTGGTATAAAATTCAGTTTGGACCTAGAGGGTATGGTTAACAAAGTGGGTAAAAGATGCAAATTATCAAGCAAACTTCCGGGTTAAATGTTGGCATTAACTCTGAATTCAGAAAAATACAACTCAAGGTCATATGAAACTGCATAGATCAAATTTGCACTGCACAATGAAGCCACCAGCATAAAGGTCAGTAAAATGTAGTGGTTTTTGCAAATTTATTAACCAAGAGAAATCATAAGAGACTTGGATAAAATTGAAAGTGACAACGAACTCGTCCAAAATATGGAAACCAACTTCAAAGAGTACAATACAAAGTTGCGTACCCATGAAATTGCAGCACAATTTCTATATCTTAGTAATAGACAATTAAGAAAGAAATCCTGAAAATAGATTTAATAAGATTATTTTCAACAGAAATGGATGTCCAGAAGAGCGAGTAGTGATCCATTAGAAGATAGAATAAGAAATGCGTGGATGAGTAGGAAGCTAGACTAGCCAAAATGAGGACAAAATAAAGGGAGAACATGGGCATGTGAACCAGAGATCATTGAGTGTGTTAGTTAGAAGTTGTAGGGTCGTAGTCGGTGGAGCAAAAAGAATTGGGAGCTGTAGGGTCGTAGTCAATGGAGCAACAAGAATTGGGAGTTGTAGGGTCGTAGTCAATGGAACAACAAGAATTGGGCCATAGCTACATGAACATGTATTGAGATAGTTCAAGAAGATATCAAAGTGTTAATTTAACAAAGAAGATGACTTTAGAGAAAGCATGAGGATGGATTCAAGATTAGGGGTGCTAAACCGTATCCGTATATGAGGAAATATCCGTAACCGTATCCGTTAGGATACGGATATGGTTACTCAAATCTATAACCGATAGGATAATTTGATGTTGTGGCTAAAATACCGTGTGGTCCCCACACATTCTTGTGAAGCCATCCCGGTGGAGGTGGTATACCCGACAATCCATTTAGCTCACAAACGATCTTATATGCTACACCCGGCTATGGTGGCGTGCATTCAGAGTGGGCTTCGCACCTTAACGACATAATTTTACCGAGTGTCATACGTTGAGGAGAGAGAGGGAGAAGAAGTAGCTAAGACTCCCAACTAGAGGTGCTAAACTACATCCGTATTCGAGAAAATATCTGTAACCGTATCCGTTAGGATACGGATATGGTTACTCAAATCTATAACCGATAGGATATGGTTACAGATATGGTTTTATAGTGAAATATATGTATCTGTATCTGAAATATCCGAATACGTATTAGTCATACTCTTACGATAGTTTCGATTCTTAGATTATGAATTTGTGTTTAATTTTGATGATCAAGATGTCTAATCTTAACTTTTTAGTTATAATGAACACATTAACGAACTCTTTTGTATCACATGAACTATGTTTTTCTCAATACTATCTAGCTTTTTCATATCCGTTTTGTATATGCATGCATATCCGCTTATATATCCGCATGTATATCCGTAACCGTATCCGATTTTAGCGGATATGGATATGAATTTTCCTTACCGAGTTATATCCGTATATGTATCAGTATCCGAGATGAGTAAGCGGATATGGATATGGTAGGCATCATATCCGAGCCGTATCCAGACCGAATACACCCCTAGTCTTTTTGCTGTGATTTTTGGGCAGCTCTGAATTTTTGTAACTTATACTGCAGGTCTTATATAAAGCTTTGAATGTGCACTCAAGAAATTAGGCTAGCTGATCAGTTTGTCCAAGTATAATGGTCGATCTTCCATTCCATCGAAAATTATGTTGATTTCATCACAACTCCATCCAAGTATCCAACCATTCGTTTTGATAGTTTTAAGTTTCACATAGACCACTTGTATTAAATCCATGCATCCATCCTGTATTACTTAATAAATTTGACTAAAGAAATTAGTCTAGCTATTCAGTTTGTCCAAGCCTAATGCTTGATCTTCCGTTCTATCCAAAATCATGTTGATGACCATTTATTCAATCCATGCATCTATCCTGTATTGCTTACTAAATTTGACTAAAGAAATTAGTCTAGCTATTCAGCAAGCATAATGCTTGATCTTCCATTCTATCCAAAATTATGTCGATTCCATCACCATCTCCATCCAAGTATCCAGCCATTCCTTTTGACAGTTGTCTGAGTTTCACTCAGACCATTTATTAAATCTAAATACCATGAAACTATTTTTGATATTTCCGTCAAGACATGCATCCATCATGCATTACTTACCAAATTTGACTATCCATGCTATTTCTAGAGAAAAATATCCAAGTATAGCAAGAACCATGAAGTGCAACCTCCTTGCTTCCAAAAGCTCATCAATTAACCACACAAACAGAAGTTTCGTTTTACTGAAATGCCTACAATAGAATTAAGAGAAAATTCAATGCCGATGTCGACAGGATATGTTTTATAATAAATGTTCCATTATTCTAAGAAGTCAAGACAGATCTGGAGGAGTTTAAAGCAGAGATTAAGAAGGCTACAGGCATCCCTTGGTTATATATCTTGCAATACTCAAAGAAGACGAGATTTATCTTAAGGAGTTTAAAAAGATAAAGAAAGCAACAGATATCCCACGATTACATATCTTGCAATCTTATTGGGCGCCCTCCAATAGTCTACAAAGACAGAGCTGCAGGAGTTTGAAGAAGAGAAAAAGAAAGATAATGGTATCCCTTGGTTACATACCTTATTAGGCCCTCAGGTCAACTTCCGACAGAAAATGTTTTATAAATTCATCAAATAATTTTTGGCTTGGTTATCCGATGCATACTACCAGTTCTGCTACTATTCTTACCAATGTCACGGAAGGCGCTAGGCGGACTAGGCGTTTGAACTAGCGCCTAGTGCCTAGACTCCTATGCGTATGCCTAGACGACGCCTATGCGTTTGACTATTTTTAAAATTATTTAATTATATTAATTGATAAAAATATGTATTAAATTCATATAAATTTGTTAAAATAGCAATCTTAGATCCACAATAAGCCATGCATACTTATATACTAAATAACTAAAATAATAACTAACAAGGTTATAGAAAACGCTAAGAGGCCTAGGCGTCGGACCCGACGCCTAGAGTCTAGTACGTTTTCTTTTTTTCTTTTTTAATTACAATAATTGATAGTAAATATCAATGTTATAGAAAGCTTAGATGTCGAACTGGTTCTAGGCGGATTTTTTTTCTTCATTTAAGTGGTGGTCGAGGAGGATTTGCTGAAGGTCGGAGAAGGTAGTGGAGGTGTTCATATTTAGAGGTTAAATGAGTTTGAAGGAGGTTGGAGGACGTGGAGGCTACAACACAAAAAATCATGATCAAAGTCTAAAGGGTGCAGTCCACGTAAACAGACAATACTCCTCTAAACACTTCCAAAACCTAGATGGGCAGCCTAGGTACAGCCTAGGCGCTGGGCACTAGCTAGGCAACCCAGGTATCGCCTAGGCCTAAGCGTACGCCTAGACGGACTAAGCGGAGGCTTTTTAAAACAGTGATTCTTACCGTAATATAGCCACTCAAGTCATCAGTTTCATCCTGACCTAGATTAATAAGACGTCAATCTCGTAATAAAACTAAAGGCATAAACAGAAGTTACTAAATTTCAGGTTCTCATTTGCTATGCATTTCAAAAAGTTAAAACTCGGAACTTATTTAATGGTATCCAAAGCGCATTTTATTGGAATAGAAACAAATGTGTCATGCACATCAACTCGGGAAGCTATTACTTTAGGGCAGGGGGACCTTCCAAGACTTGATATTACTCAGAACCAGATTTCAAGAAATGAATGCATGCTGATAATTGGGCATTCCAGTGAAAAGCTGAATCTGTATTTTTTTGGGTGGTTTACTGCATACTTCAAGTGATATCAAATCTCAGATCAATCCAAATTGTTGAGAAGAACTAGCATTAGTATGGATGCAATGTTAAAAGTTTACAGATAATCCTAAGATCTCACTAGTCCAGTTAAACCATTTCTCATACTGCTAAAATCAGAATTAGATGATCATATAATACACGGAAGAAAGGAAGCAAAGAATTACAAACTAACCTGAAAGCAAGTGTCCACACACAAGAATTATGTCCTGTTAATGGCGAAATACACCGCCCACTGGATAGATCCCACATCATGATGGTTCCATCTTCATCGCCAGAAGCCATGTACCGCCCATCAGGAGACATTGCCAATGAGAGCACCATACTTCTGTGACCAATGAAAATGCGAACACATTCCCCACTTTGCACGTCCCATAATCTGACTGTTTTATCGCTGGATCCCGTAGCAATGTAGTTGCAGTTTACATGCCATTGTACGCACTGACAATCATGCAGATTTTACACATTACAAATATAATTTTAGCTCAAAGAAGTGATGAGAAAATGATGTACTCATTCAAAGTATTATTATAGATTAAAATACACATTTGACATGAAATAATCAGTATAACGGGCAAGGTTAGTTGAATCCAATATAAATGCCAAGATAACTGGATAATATTACTGCTTACAAAATGATATGCCAGCATAGAAGTGGAAACAGTATTTATTGAAATGTTATTTCACAAAGCAAAAATGTTTCCGAAAAAAATTCTTACAACTGAAATTTTATGCACAAAGATAGAGATGTTTTAATGTATAATATATGATGGAAATGATACATCATCAGTCGCCTAAATGTTGATGGTTTTGTCTAAAGACTGATTCACAGCCTTCATTAAATAATGACCCACTCCTATTTACATTGTTTGGTTTCACAATAAACAAACACTTGATGCCCTATAAATTAACAAAGCAGGGAGCACGTGTTAGACTTATTCGTGATTAATTCATAGAGATTAAACAACAACAATGAGCGGAAGCAATACCTGAATCGTGTTAGACTTATTCGTGATTAATTCATAGAGATTAAACAACAACAATGAGCGGAAGCAATACCTGAATCCATAACTATTTGAGCACGGATCTTAATTAGAGATTAAACAACAACAATGAGCGGAAGCAATACCTGAATCCATAACTATTTGAGCACGGATCTTAATTAGCGTTTGATCTTCTAATCTGAAAGGTGTCTCTTGAATATCTCTTTAGATGGGGATTAGAGAATAGAGAACGTAACCTTTAGATTAGGAACCATAGGTCCATAACCCCTTTATATAACCTTTAGATTTACAATTTTCTAATTTAGCCCCTCATAAAATTAGAATTGCAGTCTGGTATCTGCACAATTAACCCATGATTTACTTAAATACCCATTAACCCAAATTGATTGATCACTTTATGCGGGTTAGCCTTAAATATAGCATTATACACTAATATAACATATATTCTCACAATTAGATTTAATCCAACAATCTTCCACTTGGGCAAAATATGTTTTATTAAAACATGTACAACCTTATGAGCTCAGAATTTGCTATTACAAGTAAGGGTATTTTCGAACAATCTCGTCCATTGACAATATCAATATAGGATCAAAGCGGCCTTCGTCACATTTATCGTGACTAAACCCATCAATGGTCACATATACCAATACAATCAAACGACATAGATCAATCATGGATGTGCAGCATAAAAATTACATGCAATATGATCAGTACATGTCTATTTTCAACTGGTCCTACTTTAACTTTTGTGAGGTCAAAACCAAACATAATGAAACAATGTCTTAGCTGAATACTTTATTCTGATCAGACAATACAACCAAACACAAAGCACTAGAAAATTACAAACTCCTACTAAATCATGATATCCTCGAATAATACCACACCCATATGAGTAATGTGCTCATGAAAGACCTTGGGGGACAACCCTTTAGTAAGAGGATTTGCTATCATAGAGTTTGTCCCAACGTGTTCTATGGATATCTGTTCACTTTGTACCATTTCTTTCACAATCAGGAACTTAATGACAATATATTTTGACTTAGTTGAGCTCCTGTTGTTATTGGAATACATCACTGCTGATTTATTGTCACAAAATAACTTAAGTGGTCTTTCAACATTATCCAGAATGCGCAGTCCAGTGATAAAATTTTACAATCATATTCCATGATTGGATGCCTCATAGCAAGCTACAAACTCTGCTGCCATAGTGAATGAAGCTATAAGTGTCTGTTTGACACTTTTCCATGATATAGCTCCTCCTGCTAATATATAAATATAGCCTGATGTAGACTTTCTGCTATCTTAGCATCCAGTAAAATCAGAATCAGAGTACCCAATGACCTCCAGCTGATCTAATTTTCTGTATGTGAGCATATAATTTTTTGTTTTCTGAAGATACCTCATAACCAACAATGTACGTAATATCCGGACGTGTACACACTTGAGCATACATTAGATTTTTTACAACCGAAGCATAAGGAATCTTCTATATTTCCTGAATATTAAGGTTACCTTTAGGGTACTGATTGAGACTGAGCTTGTCTCCTTTAGCAACATGGGTGTCAATTGGTCTGTAATTTTACATGCCAAATCTTTTGAGTACTTTATCGATATAGCTCTTTTGTGATAATCCAAGTATACCTCGAGAACGATCTCGATGTATCTGAATTCCTAATATAAAAGAGGCGTCCCCAAGCTCTTTCATCCCAAAATTCTTTGATAGAAATCTCTTGGTTTCGTGCAACATGTCTATATCATTAGTGGCAAGTAATATATCATCGACATACAGGACCAGGAAAATATACTTACTCCCACTGAACTTGTGATCTACACAGTCATCAACAATATTCATCTCAAAACCAAACGAGATTATTTGTTGAAACTTGTAATATCATTGACGAGGAGCTTGCTTGAGTCCATAGATGGATTTTTCTTAATTTGCAAATCATATTCTTCGGGTCTCCTGACACAATGTTTTCTGGTTGCACCATATAAATCATCTCATCAATATCACCATTGAGAAATACAGTCTTAACATCCATCTGATGTAACTCAAGATCAAAATGAGCAACAAGTGTCATGATTGTTCTAAAAGAGTCTTTCGATGAAACCGGAGAGAAAGTCTCCGTATAATCAATGCCTTCCTTTTGAGTATAGTCTTTAGCCACAAGACGTGCATTATACCTCTCCACATTACCATTTGCATCCCGCTTGGTTTTAAAAATTCATTTACAACCAATTAGTTTTGCACCTTCTGGTAATAGGACAAGTTCCCAAATCTTATTATCTTGCATAGACTTGTACTCTTCATTCATGGCATCAATCCACTTTTGAGAGTTAAAAACTTTTCATGACCTGAAGGAAGTTGATTGGACCATCTTTCATCATTCCATTACTTTTCTCATGTTCTTGGAGAAATACAATATAATCATCCGGAATAGCATTTCTTATTTTTCTCGTGGATCTCCTTAATGGTACCGGTTCTTGAGGTTGTTGAGTTTGTTCTTCTAGAACAATGAGTTGATCAACATTGTCATCTTGAATTCCGGATTTACTTCTTGATTAATAACAGGTATAGGAACATGAATATTATCAAGAGTAACTGTATGGATTGGATTTGAAGCCAATTTCTCCTCAAACGCAATGTCTCTAGCCTTATTTCTGCCTCCAAACTCAACATTCTCAAAGAATGTTGTTCCTGTCTTAAAAATATTCCTAAGTATGGAATCATAAAACTTATAGCTCATTGAACGTTTAGATTACCCAATTGATATGAGTCGTCGTGCGAGCACCCTTTGGTCGCGAAATTACCAAAAGGTGGGTTGAGAAGAAGACAACTAAAACACAAGAACAATTCAGTATGGCGAAAGAAAATACCTTCTCTAGATTATGAAGAATCAATTATTACAAATCTCTCCCTCACAATCTCACTAGAATCGAGAACCTCTCAATCCTCTCTAAACCCTAATACAATGATTAGAATCTCTCTGATCTAAGATCTCTCAGATCATGTTTAGAAACCCTAAACAACCATTTATATAGGTGTACAAACGTGGATGGCAATCTGGTAAATAACCAAGCCCAAAACCAACAGGAATTCGTGTGAACAGAAACCCAACCAAACCAGAAAACCGTCGATGAGTCGACTCATGAGATATGGGTCGACTCATAAAACTGATGAGTCGACCGAGCAGAAACTTTTAACAAAACGGCTGGATTTCGTGAGTCGACTCATGACAGTCATGAGTCGACTCATCCTGATGAGTCGACTCATGTGCATGTATGAGTCGACTCACGAGCTGAAAACTAGATTCTTCGAATTTGCTGCTCGTCGCCTCGTTCCACGCTTCCACCTGCGTTCCACTGTACTGTTTTACACCTCTATTCTCATGCTATCATGAGAATCATCTATCATCAAGCTCCCATGAGGATCGCTAAGTTCCGAAGAGAAGATACACCCGTATCATGGGTCCCTTCTTTAGGAACTTGAAGTCTCGTTCAAGTTAGAACTTTTGTTGAGGAAACTCTCGAGCTTCTCCATCTTGTCTGCACCACCTGACCTTGCTAGGAATCCGGTCTCGACGTCCGATCAGAAACATCTCATCCATCCCGCATCTCGTCGTAATCACCTTTCGCCCCAAGTTGTAATCCTTTATCGATGGCTTTTCTGGAAGTCTAATGCACAACGAGACAAACTTCTTGCTTGCATTCACTAGTCTCTTCGCTCGCGTCACCATCCCTAAGCTTGTCTCTCTCGGAAGAGATGCCGAACGAAATATGAACTTTTTTACCATCCTTAGTAAAGGTGTACTTCTGAGCCCGCCTCTCGTAGATCGCGTATCTATCCCATAAGTATGGATTGCTCAGTATAATCTGACAAACATCCAATGGAACGACGTCGCACGTAACCTCGTCAATATACGACTCGTGGAGCACAAATCTGACAGTACATTGATCAACTATACTCAGTTTCTCCTCCTTCTGAATCTACCCCAATGGATAGGGCTTCGGATGCTTGACCGTCTTCAGACCCAGCTTCTGAACCAATGCCTCGGATATCAAATTTTTTTCGCTGCCCGAATCAACAATAGCATCAACCAAACTAGTCTTCACTTGCAACTTAAGAACAAAGAGTTGTTCTCTCGGGTCGTCGTCCTCTTTCGTGGTCTGTTTCCCCGCCATAAGGTTGAGACTGATGTTGGGTTCTGTCATCCCCAAGACTTCTTTCGGACCTTGAGCTATCATATATGTCTTTTTCTCTTTCTTCTTCAACCCTCTTGGCTTGAGATGAGGATACTTCTCCCAACACCGATCAGCTGTGTCATGTCTTCTCGCAGTGACTACAAATCAGTCCTGCCTTCCCTGGATCACCCTTCTTCTCCTCCTCCTTAGATTGAGAACCACTAGACTCGTCTCCCGTCTGTTTGGAGTCTT